TTTTTTTAAAATAAAGAACATAATTTGACATATAAGAATAAAGTTAATCGTGCTTTGGTAGAATCTGCGCGAAAGAAAAATAGCTTTACTGAGACATCCACCAGCATTTTGACCGTTAGACTAATGGCTTTGTTGAAAAGGAAGGTAGTAACATTCAAAATTACAGAAGTAGATTCCCAAAAAGCAAGTAACTTTGGATCCGATTAGCATTTTATTCTAGACAACTGGAGAACCTCAAACTAATGTGATTCACAACATGAGCCCACCTTTACACTGATATTAAGAGAGGCTTGGCCAAATGACCTGCCCACCACGGAGAGCTCCACCAAATCATTTACCTCCTGGGCAGATAGGAGGACTGAAGAAGCAGACTGGTGAGAAATGGGCAGCTCACTCTGAATCTTTGCCCTTTGAATTAATTCTAGTTGACCTACTTGAGCAATGATTGAGGAATTTTTGATTCAGTTTGCTCTGATCTATCCCCTGGTGAGTATGGGCTTGTTATTTTTTAATGAAACTATTTTCACAGCCTGTTGTTTTTGGTGTCAGGGATAGAGGAGAGTGAAGTTATTTATTTTTATTCTTATTCCATTTTTTTTTTCATAAATCCTAGTGCTGCTTATGCTGCTGAATTGCATTTAACCGGCATCTTGCAGCAAAGCATACTTTCTAGCAAACAGTGTGAGAACACTAACAAAGGATAAAAATAACACCAGGCAATGACCAATGTGAAAAGACACACACACACACACACACACACACACACACACAAGGCCTTTTCATAGCAGATGCCAGAATTGCAATTATACATTTCGTCATTCCTTCTGCTTTATGTAACAATATCTGTTGGGAAGCACTTGTCCCAACATTGAATATTTCTTATCCAACTCATATCTTATCTCTTAAAATCAATGTAAAAGTGCTACTTTATATTTTTGTCTGATAATGTGAACTGTTTAGTTACTCCAGTTTTCGCCCTGTGGCAGTAAGGGTGAGTAAAAGTCAATCCCTGTTCTCCCAAGAGGAGTTTTGCAATTAGAAACACTTTATTTCTAGAATAAGGAGGATCTGACTGCACAGTTAGCACCCCCCAATTTGTGAGACTTCATCACTGCCTTTCAAAACATGCTTTAGTAGGATTGGAGGGTTTTATGGTAAATTATTATTAAAGTTTCTGAAGTGCATAGAAATCTCAGTTATTTAGAAAGCAGCTGGGTACAGAAGTCAAGCTGAGCTAACTTTTAAAATAAAACAAATGGAGAAGGAATACTGCAGAAAAGAGTAGATTTATTTCACAGTATGAGCTTTAGTACATTAAAAGCAATGCACTAACAACAGTCGGTACAGATTTACAGATAAGATGTCCTTAGCTATCCAGCCACATATCTTCCTTTATTTTTCCATTTCTTAATAAAATAATCAGAGAATAGGTTTACAAAACTGTCATTATCATAACATTAATCTTGTTTAAATTCAAACTGTCCTCTAGGGTTGATGTCTAAAGAAGAGATTTATAGTCATCTGTCTTTTTAAAAGAAAAAAAAACAAACAGTAGATTATATAGGAATTACTATTTGGATTCTATATTTCTAAAGAAAACAACTCTGTAATTTTTGGAACAGCTCACTATAATAAAACATCAGTAGGCTTTAAATTTCAAATGAATAAGTGATCATAGGAAGAATGTATCAGCATGCTAAATATTCTCTAAAGCTGGTAAAATCACACTCATATCTCTAATTCAGAGTCAGGGTGGGTAATAGGGCCACAGAAATAATATCTACATTCAATACTTAGACACAACAAAAAATTAAATATTTGGAAATGCCAGTGGTATTCAGTGGAACTTCCTAATCAAGTCCTGAGTGACAAGTGGAATTACTCTAACTTAGAAAATACTCCAGGAGCACCATCAAATATAGGAATGTCCTGTGGGGTTATCATACACAGTTTTTGTGTCATAATCATCTCCAAGTGACAGTCTTTTGCCTCCTTCCTTGATATTCTCCTCTTGATTCCTCCAACAGTGCTCCACCATCAGCTAGTATGACTGGGTCATGAAAGTTCCATCTTGGAAAATTCAAACTACTTACATTCACTCAACATTTGTGTCTAATCCTTTGACTTTAAAATAATAACTCCTAATGTCTTAGGGAGGAGGAAGTGACATTGCAGTCAACAGTCAGGACTTTTAGATTCCTTCAGAATGATCTAAGTCCTCCATCTGCCATACTCCTACCTTGCATTTTATCATGAAGTGACACGTCGTAGAAGAGCAGTATAATAAATTTAAGCCAATGACTTACTAGTTTCCCCAAGGGTAGAAATCCCCTCTATTTCTTTTCTTTTTTGTTTCCAGGTTAAAGGGTGCATTTGCTGACATCTAATACCCTGCATGCTGATCTGAAGGAATTTCCCTGGGGGAATGTGAAATGTCTATGTCTTTTTTATAGTCTCATGGGACACTTTTACTTTTAGATAATCACAGGTAAATCAATATGGTTTTAGTCTTTCTGAACCAATAATATATGTTTACTGAATTGGAGTATACAACATGTTATAAATTAAAATTATCTTATTTTCTTCCTTAAGATGCTTTTCAGCAATTTGTAGTGATATAATTTCTGTAGTGGAATAGTCTATTTAAAAAGTATTTCAGCCAGGCTCTGTGGCTCATACCTGTAATCCCAGCACTTTGGGAGGCCAAGGAGGAAGGATTACTTGAAGCCAGGAGTTCAAGACCAGCCTGAGCAACAAAGTGATACCCCTCATCTCTAAAAAAAAAAAAAAAGTTTAAAAGAGTTAGCTAAGCCTGGTGGTGCATGCCTGTAGTCCCAGCTACTTAAGAAGTTGAGGCATGAGTTTCACTTGAGTCCACAAGTTCAAGGCTGCTATGAGTTATGATCCTGTGCACTACACTCTGGCCCAGGTGACAGAGTGAAACCAGCTTTTTTTTTTTTTAAAAAAAAAAGGAGGGGGGGTTGATAATTAAAACTCCTCTAAAAATTGCTTTGTTAAGTTTATAAATTATGCCAAAAATGTGTGCCATTTTAAAACTGAGTAAGCATTTTAACTAGAATGCTTTGTCTTAGCCTAAAAATGTTATCTGTTATATAATTATTTTCTGTTGACTCACAGAAGATGCTAGAAATAACTATGTAATTGCTCAATAATGAGCCAAGTTTCTAGGGAGTGAAAGGGGTTGGCCTTGGTTAAAAACTGGGTAATTTTTAAACTAAGTTAGCTTTTCTAGGGCTTAAAGATACATTTCTGTAAAAAATGCTCATTTATTTTTCAACCTACATTAAAAGAAGAATATTATGAGTACCTTTTTTTTTTTTTTTTTTTTAGATGGGTTCTCACTCTGTCAATGAGGCTAGAGTGTGGTGGCACGAATACAGGTCACTGCAGTCTTGATGTCTGAGGCTCAAGTGATCCTCCCACCTCAGTCTTCCAGGTAGATGGGACCACAGGGATGTACCACTACCCAGCTAGAGATGGAGTTTCTCTGTGTGGCCCAAGCTGGTCTCGAACTCATGGTCTCAAGGGATCTGCCCATCTCAGCCTCCCAAAGTGCTGGGCTTATAGGTGTGAGCCATAGTGACTTGGCCTCTCTAAAAACACTTTTTTTCCTATGAAAGGACAAAGCTCACTTCATATTTTGTATAGCATGGTATTTGAAGAAAGTTAAGGGATTGGTCATCATTAAAATAATTATGACACTATCAACTAAATCATTTTTATCTGTACTTAATAGATCAATACTGAGTTATAGAAGTTTACATATAAAATGTGGTGTTGACAGTGGAAGAAAAGGAAAGAATGCAAGGTATGTTAAAGAGAAAGAAATGACAGATACCTGATTGTCCAGCTCATCTCTTATAAATGATTTAAGACATGAAAATTATTCAGCATATTTTTGTGATTGTCAGAAAATGACAATCAGTGTAATATACTGAAAAGTGATTTAGATTAGTTGTAGTCCTAGGCACTTCACTTTCTAAAAATGTGTCAGTTTATCCCAGCACATTGGAAGGCGGAGGCAGAAGGATCACTTGAGCCCAGGAGTTGGAGACCAGGCTGGGCAACACAGTGAGACTTCATCTCTACAAAAAATAAAAATAAGTTAGCTGGGGTCTATTAGTCCATTTTTGTACTGCTGTGAAGAAATACCTGAGCCTTGGTAATTTATAAACAAGAAGGGGTTTAATGGACTCACAGTTCCCCATGGCTGGGAAACCTCACAATCATGGCAGAAGGTGAAGAAGGAGCAAAAGTACATCTTGCATGGCAGCAGGCAAGAGAGCATGTGCAGGGTCCCCTCTATATAACCATCAGATCTCCTGAGACTTGTTCACTACCATAGAACATCACGGGGAAAATCCACCCTCATGATTCAGTTACCTCCCATCTGGTCCCTCTCATAACATGTAGGGATTATGGGAGCTACAATTCAAGATGAGATTTGAGTGGAGATACAGCCAAACCGTCTCACTGGGCATGATGGTGTATCAAGCCTACGGTCCTAGCTACTCTGGAGGCTGAGATGGGAGGATCTCCTGAGCCCAGGGTTTTTGAGTTTTCAGTGAGCCATGATTATTCCATTGCACTCCAGCCTGTGCAACAGAGCAAGACCCTGTCACAAAAAAAGCCTGTCAACAAGTTGCTGTGAGTTAAATAAGTGGAAGTGGTGCTATGAAAAAGGAAAGCATTATATGTTACCTTCTTAGAATTCATATAGAACCACAAACTTTATAACTAAAAGAAGTTTTTAGAGACCCCAAGCCTCTCTGATTCCACTTTGGAAATAAGGAAATAGGCCCAGCGAGGTAGGGAAAATTGCAGGACTTGGACCTCAGTTCAGACCTCTGGACACATCTCATTTGTTTACTTGTGTGTTTGTTTATTGATTGTTACATATTTACTTTTAGAATGTAGTCTAAAATAGAACACCATTAGGATCATTAAGAACTGTATTGTTGTGTCATTATTTTTTCTACTTTTAGAAATGTACAAGCCAAGAATGAAAATGCTGTAGATATTTTTTTCAGTTGCACCCTCCTAGGTTTAGAAGTTCTGGGGAATGTGCCTTAGAAAAGTTGTCTAGCTGGTTTCAGGATAAGCATCGTACCAAATCCTGGCTTTAACCTACCAGACCTATCTGCAGTCATGGAATGAGTTTGACACCCTATGTCTCCCAGTTTTCCATTTTATTTCAGATGATTTAGCCCTTACTGGGTCTCCTTCATAATGAATTATTATAATAGTTTTTTACTGTAGCAACTAGAATGGAGATTATGATTAAAAAATAATGTCATTTCAATGAGTTTTGGGGCATACTATTACACTATTTTCAAGACAATTAATGAACTTACAGTCATACTTTCTAGCATAATGCTGTCTAATAGAACCATAATGGACACTACATATATAAATTTAAGCTTTCTTGTACTCACACTAAAAAAGTGAAAAGTGTCTGTTCATATCCTTTGCCCACTTTTTGATGGGGTTGTTTTACTCTTGTAAATTTGTTTAAGTTCTGAAGACATTTATGTGGCCAAAAAACATGAAAAAAGCTCATTATCACTGGTCATGAGAGAAATGCAAATCAAAACCACAAGGAGATACCATCTCCGGCCAGTTAGAATGGTGATCATTAAAAAGTCAGGAAACAACAGATGCTGGAGAGGATGTGGAGAAATAGGAACGCTTTTACACTGTTGGTGGGAGTGTAAATTAGTTCAACTATTGTGGAAGACAGTGTGGTGATTCCTCAAGGATCTAGAACAAGAAATACCATTTAACCTAGTAATCCCATTACTGGGTAGATACCCAAAGCATTATAAATAATTCCACTATAAAGACACATACACATGTATGTTTATTGCAGCACTGTTCACAGTATCAAAGACTTGGAACCAACCCAAATGTCCATGAATGATAGATTGGACAAAAAAAATGTGGCACATATATACCATGGAGTACTATGCAGCCATAAAAAGGATGAGTTAGTGTCTTTTGCAGGGACATAAATGAAGCTGGAAACCATCATTCTCAGTAAACTAACACAGGAACCAAAAACCAAACACAGCATATTCTCACTCATAAGTAGGAGCTGAACAATGAGAACACATGAGAGGAACATCACACACCAGGGCATGTAGGGGATTGGGAGTAGGGGAGGGATAGCATTAGGAGAAATACCTAATGTAGATGATGGGTTGATGGGTGCAGCAAACCACCACGGCACATGCGTACCTATGTAACAAACCTGCACGTTGTATACATGCATCTCAGAACTTAAAGTATAACAATAAAATCAAGTGAAAAGCAGCTAAAATTATCTTAATAATATTATTTTAATTCAACATCTAAAATATTTCAACGTGTAAATAATATTTTAAAACTTTTAATGATAGATTTTGCATTCCTTTTTTTTAATACTGTCTTTGAAATTCAGCATCTATTTTATACTTATAGCACATCTCAATTTGGATTTTAAATTTTCATCTGAAATACATGATCTGTACTTGATTTCATAAAATTTGCATTTGAAAAAAATACATTTACATACCCAAGTTATTCCAAAGCTACTTAAAATCATGCCAATAACTGAATTAAGTATCAGTCATTGATTTAAATTTTATATCAATAACTATAAATTAAAATTAACAATTCAGTTTATCAGTTATATTAGCCACATTTCAAATGCTGACTAGCCACATGTAGCTAGTAGGCACCACATAGAATAACAGTTCTAGATATTTAGTGCCATCAACAAAATTATTTCTGTAGAAGAAAGAAAGAAAAAAGTTCATCTATCCATCTATTTTATTTTATTGACTACTGCTTAATTTTGCAATGCAAACATTACCTGCATAACTTATGTAAGTGATACTTCGATTTTCCTTTTCATATTGAGTAGTGAAACATCCATTATAAGCACTGATGGGAAGATAAACCTTGAAACATTGCCTTAACTGTGATTGTTAGTACTGGAATTGACTAGATTTTCTTTCCAACTTAACTATGATTGTTAGTGCTGGAATTGACCAATTTTCTTTTCAACAGCTTTGCATGTTTTGTGGGTTTGTATAACCATGTGCCCTGCTTTATAAATACTTTCAGTTTAACCTGCTTTGTTTCCCTTGATTGCTCTAGCTTGGTTAAATGAAAGTGCTTTTGAATAACAACAGGCCTATCAAATTGCCCACTGGGAAATCCGTGGAATATGCTTAGGGCAGCTTTTTGCAGTGTTTCCTGTACCTCGCAAAAATTTTTTGAAAAAATGTTCAATAGCACAATGGCTTCTGAACTGGCAGACTCTAGGAAACATTTTTATATATAATATATAGGCTTCCTAGTTGTCATTACTTTTTAAAAAAATTAATGTTCTAGGGCCATGTAGAGAGACAGTATAGCAAATAAATCAGAAAGCATGATTCTGGAATCAGAACCATTTATAAATTATATGAATTTGTCCAAAGTTACTTTACCTTTCCAAACCTTAGTTTCCTCATTCTAGAGATAAGAGTAGGACCTACTCAATGAAGTTATTGGAGAATTAAATGAGAGTATGTTCTTGACCTGTACCTGGCACAGAGTAAGTGTTCAGAATATGAATTGTTACTCTACAAGCCTAATGGAAGCCTAGGCATTATTACACTTGAAACTCATCACCAGGGGTTAAGAAGAAGGAAAACAAGTATTTTACATGACTGTTGTGAAGTTAATTCAAGGAGCATAAACCCTAAAGAGTGGTGTGCCAGTAGCCTCATCCCTGGTTTGTTTATTTGTTGTTATTTTTAATTAGCGTGCAAAATCTCAACATTACATTGAGAAGCAAAAGGAATTGTTCATCAATTTCACTGTGTGACTTTTGCTTTTCTTTACCTGTTCCAAGACGTCTAGTTTGATTATATTGTGAAACAAGAACTTAGTAAAAAATTCTCTAAAACCATTCTATGAGTAATAGATCAGACTTTTAATCAAGGTATCATTTTATGTTCTGCAAATTATAGCAAAGATAAAAATCATGAAGTATGTTTGCTAGTTTTATGTAGTGCCAGCTTGGTAAATTACTGTACTTTTTTGCTATCTGATTATTGTTGTTGGTGGTTGTTTTTAAATTTACATAATCCTTCATGTTCCTGGACGCCTATTTCTCAGAACACTTTTCTGATTATTGCTATTAATGTGGCATGTTTAATGTTTATAGTATTTGCATAAAAATAGATCATCTCTGGTAGGTAGTTTTCAATGTTAGAGCAAATGTGCTTACTCATTGAATATGAAAAAATATCCCTCTGGAACAAATGTAGAACCATCCATCTCTTGAACAGAATTCTTATAGGCTTTACTTATCTGCCTAACTGCCTTGAAAACAGCTTGGAAATTATTCCCATACTTTTGGGGAGCAGTCAATCATTTAGACAGTTTCTACTGAACAGCTTAAAATAATCAGGTTATTATAAGTAAAAATATTTTAGCATGGGTATCTATGCCAGCTAACATGAAAACCCACACTGAGCTGATGTTTAAGATGTGTTATCATAGGCAAAAAAAAATATATATCTTACTTTGTTTTTTGCATGGGAGGGTTACAAAGTTCATGGGACAGCAATCATAGAAACACAGAGTTTTAGAATGAATTATGCTTATTTTAAAAACCTTTAGTATTGAGTTGTTAGCCCTCCATTTGCATAGAATTTCAGAGACCTTGTTACTACATTTTAAAAGTAAAACTAGGGCAGAAAGTGGCTCAAAATTAGAAATGTCAGGATCTTCAATTTTGAGGGATGGCTGTTTATTCTTAAAGATACTGCATTCAAATAGGGGTCAGCTGAGTTGGCTCATGTCTGTAATCCCAGCACTTTGGGAGGCCTAGGAGGAAGGATAGCTTGAGCTCAGGTGTTTGAGACTAGCCTGGGCAACATAGTGAGGCTTCCATCTCTACAAAACCAAAAAACTAGCCTGGCATGAGGATGCCTATAATCCCAGCTACTCCAGAGGATGAGGTGAGAGGATGGCTTGAGCCAGGAGGGCCAAGGCTGCAGTGAGCTATGACCACACCACTGTACTCCAGCCTGGGTTAGAAAGTAAGAACTTGTCTCAAAGAGAGAGTGAAGAAAGAGAGAGAGAGAGAGAGAGAGAGAAATGGGGCACCATTTCACATGAAACATAAATGCATTTTTTAAATATTACTTCTTTATGATTTAGAATGGATATTTTTTTTCTTCCCAAAGTGAAAGATAAGTGTCTCTAGAAGACCAGACTTTAGAAAAAACATTGCAGCAAATATGCAAGCCTTGGTCTATACCCTGTATTTTGTTGGCATCTTGCATAGGTTTCTACTCTTATAACCCATATGAATGTCCACTAAGGACCACAAAAAGATCTTCATGGAGGAAAAAAAACACAGTTTCACCACATTAAATTAAGCATAAGAGGTGCACACGACTTGGGATTTTTTTTTTTTTTGGGGTGGGAAGTGAGAACAGCTCCAGCATTCGCCCTTCCCAGCAAGGTGAAAATATGGCCATGGTGTCTCATGCTATCAACATTGTTGCCCCTGAGAGAAACTAGCAAGTTGGAATTGGTTAGAGAGACCCTCACAGAGAATGAGAGATCATCTGCATCTCAAAGGATTAAACAAGCATTGGATAGAGAGAGGAACAGAAGGCTTCAGGTAGAGACAGTGATGTGATCAAAGCCATTCACGTCTTAACTTTACAACTCTGTTGAATGCTCAGAAGGAGGAAATATCTGAGTACATCAAAAGATTAGTGTTGTAGTAAAGAAAGAGATAAGATTGAAAAAATGTGGAGAAGTGAATACTCAGCCCATAGTATATGCAGAAAGTATATCTGGGCTCAAAAGCTGTGTCAAAGAACTCATTTACAAATTGGTTGTCATAATACAGTGGCGAGCTAGGAGAGAATGAACAAAGACATGGGAGAAACATTAGAAAAATTACAGGGAGAAGCACTGCAGGTTACAATGGCTGGTCAGAAGTGGGTCAAGACAAGTTTCCAAATGGGTACCAGCAGTAATAGTGGTACAATTAACAGACACTTTGAGGAAAGAGAATGTCAGGAGATACTGACTGGTGAGGACTGAGGCTTTTTGGTGTTCTAACTTGATATAAAACAGAGTAACTTTTGGGTTTTATTTCATGCAACAATTTTCATGCTATAACAGGGCTTGATTTTTCTCAGGTCATTAGTAAAATATGACCAAAGAGAAGAATTCTGGATATATTAGAACTCAAAAAGGTATTAAATAGAAAAACAAGACTAGGAAACTATATTTCTTAAACATGTGTAGTATGTTTGTAGGTTACAAGCAGACCTCCATGTAGTCTGTCTACTAGAAGGGTCATCATTGAGACTGCACCTTTAGCCACTGGCAAGCACTAAAGTATGAATAGCCATCAGTAAACAAGGTAATTTTGCTGTAAAAATAGGTTAGATTTACAGGAGTCCTCTCATGACAGTGTATAAGCACTTTTTTTTTTTTTTTTTTTTGAGACGGAGTTTCACTCATGTTACACAGGCTGGAGTGCAATGGCGCGATCTCGGCTCACTGCAACTTCCGCCTCCTGGGTTCAGGCAATTCTCCTGCCTCAGCCTCCTGAGTAGCTGGGATTACAGGCACGCACCACCATGCCCAGCTAATTTCTTGTATTTTCAGTAGAGACGGGGTTTCACCATGTTGACCAGGATGGTCTCGATCTCTTAACCTCGTGATCCACCCGCCTCGGCCTCCCAAAGTGCTGAGATTACAGGCTTGAGCCACCGCGCCCGGCCTTGTATAAGCACTTTTTAAAATTTCCTCTTTCTGATAGAAGAACCATCTACTTGATAGCAGTGGATGCTTCTGACGCTTTTAATTGTAGGATCTTGGAAAAATACACTGTGCTATTAAAATTGCTCTTTCTACTTTCTATAGTTCTATGAAATGGAAAACCACGTGGCTTTAGTTTTTACTTATTTTGTGATGATGAAAATGAATTTGAATGAAAATACAAATTTTTTACAAGAACAAAGCAAAGCTGAGTAGTACAACAGTATGTGTCCATCATCTTTCTCCAAGTAGTCATCCACCATTTTTATAGGTTATGAGCACTTATGCACATCCACACAATAGGAACAAAATCATAAGCAGCACAGTGATGTTCTTAGAGTGTGTTTGAAATAAAACGAAGTCTTTATGAGCATGAAAAGTTTTTTTTCCTCTTTGACTGCAAGTCTACGAGGCACTGTGAATGGATAATATGAACAAAGAGCCCATAATTGTTCTAAAGGTTGAGAACATTTCACCTCAGTCTGGAGGATTTCCCATTGCCACTTCCAAATCAGTTCCAGACCATTCACTGGGCACAAATGCAACATAAAGACTCTCCTATCTCTTCTCCTTTGCACCCTGTCCTATTCATACATTCTCCACGTAATTTGTTAGTAGCACCAGTCTTCCAGGCCAGACATTTCATTCTTAACTTGTCCCTCCCATCTAGTACCCACATCCAATCAGAGATCTAATCTCAATTTAGCCTTTAAAAATCTTAAATTTTTTACACTATTTTGGTAGAGGCTCTCCTGGTCTCTCACCAGCTTTGCAGTATCCCCCTGCTGCTCACCCCTTTTCTGGCTTCTACCCCTCCAATCCCTCATCCACATGTCCTACAGCATAGTCTTTTTAAAATGGAAATCTGTACCTGTCATTTCCCCCTAAAAAATTATTTAATGGCCCCCTGCCAGGATGTCATTCAAGTTTCTTGATCTGACCCACCGGGTCCCACCTTCCAGCTTTTATCCATACTCACGTGGTACAGCCTGCAGCCTGCGGCCCAGCTCTACCAAACTCCCAGAGGCTCTTCACACCTGCTCTGCTTGGCTCCCTTCTGTAACGTGGTGAGTGTTTAGAGTGCCCTGGACGCACATTTCCACCTAAGCAGGTCATCTTTCAAGGTTCTGCAAAACATGATGTCCTCTAACCTTTTCCCCTGCAGGTCCATCTGTTTCCTTTGCTTCATAGTTATAGCTATTACTCCTGTATTTGTAATCATTTTCAACCTCTGTCTCCATGACAGTGTGCTTTTTAAGGATGGAAGCTATCCATAAGCACTCTATATTTGTAAGACCAGGTACAGAACCCAGCCTGTAACAGTTATTCAACAAGTAATTTTCTCGTGAAGTTAAGAAAAATGGCAGAGATGGGCTTCACATTGGCCCATATATCTATATATAATAAAATATTTGGGTTTGGAACATAGCATCCTAGTTATTACTTCATCATAGAGTAAATAATTTTTATACACTCTACTATTGATTTAATTAATGGCTCTTTATGAATTAATACTATTTACAAATGTGTTTAGTAAATAGTATACTATACTTCAGTTTAGTATAGTGAAGTAAAATAACATTCTGAGAGAATCTAGTTCCCATTTTTTAACCAAAGAGACAAGTTTGAGTTTCTTGATGTGAAGAGGAAACCATTTGGTCTTATCAAAAATTAAGATGGAAAGGTTACATGTGCAGTTATTTGCTAGTGAAATGAGAATGTCCATGTCTCCATTTATTAAAAAATGGGAAGTTTATATTAAATCTGGTTGTCATGCTTCAATTAAGTTAGCAAATAGGGATGTCAATTTTATCACAAATGCAATATTAGAACTGATGTTTAGTCTTGTCTTGAATGTAATGATTGAATTAAGTCAACTACTCAACTCTCTCATATTGAATAAGGAGTAAACAGACTGGTGTTTTCCATATCACAGAAATCTCCCTGGCTTGCTGCTGTTGGGTATTTATATATAAATGCAGTTGGCAAAAGGTAGGCAGATTCATCATTAAGTTGTCGTATTGAATCAGTAAAGTGATAATTGAGTCTTAACATACCAAAACAGAAATCTTGAAAATGGCTATTATGGGACTAGTTTCGTAAAAGGGGAAAACATCAAATTTGTAGAAGAGGTTTGCTTTTAACATCCCAGTATATTTTATGTGTTTAACAATAACAATGAATAAAACTCATGTACATATAATTTAGAGTGCTTATTCTTTTATAAGTGTTCATTAGTTTGGAAAACAGGTCTGCTCATTAGTTTGGAAAAGAGGTATAAAAATAAATAAGTGTGTTTGTGTTTGTGTGTCTGTGTGTGTGTGTGTGTGTGTGTGTGTAAGCATACACATATTTATATATCTCAGATAATTGTTGTTTCCTTTGCTAGAAGAAGAAAACTATGAGAAAATGTTATGATATAGTTACTTTTTCTTTTTGTGTCTTTGTATTTGTTATTTTTGTGCTT